CTCTATAAAGTGTATGTCTAGCCCAGTACGCCTGAAGGCATTGAAAAAAGTCCTGTACTTTTACTTTATTTCATTTATCGCCTCAGTTAGTGGGACCTGTGTAGGTTTTGAAAGACTTTCTATCCATTTTGCAAGGTAGTCAGTGATGGAGGGAAGGCTCATTAAAGGGAAGTGAGACTAAGCGGCCATATACAAGTTGTGATGGTTTCTTGGAAGAGCTTAGGATCAGATGTGAGGTGTCTGCTCAGGGGATCACTAACTGCAAGCCTTTTTGGTTGATGGGAAATAACAAATAATACCCTGACTTTCCTTGAGGCTAGAACAACATACCTGCAGCTGTCTGTTTGGGTTTGACAAAAGGTAGCCCCTGTAGATGGAATCGATGAGGAGGATATCACCACAGCGACAGTGGTGTCTCTTACAAAAGTGACTAGGATGGCTAACGTAGTCAGCAGATGCTGGGATCATTTAAATTTACATCAGCTGAAGAATATTTAAGCTCTGCTGTCGCAATATATCATGTAGCAGAATCATTGTAGGATGTCACTCTGACCATGATCCCCTAGAAAGATCCTTGATCTTCTGCCGACTGTTTTATGTCAAATTTTTTTTTATCCATCTCCAATATTGTTTTTAATCTCTTGTTTTCATAATACCAACCCCAGCCTTTTCTTTAAAAAAAAAAAACATGCAGTTTTCCATTACTTTAGTATATAATATAATATTTCAGACACAGCCCTGTTTGTGAGCCAGGTTTATTTTAACTTTTCTGTGGTCAGCCATGTTCTGGCTATTAGTTGTTAATTATGGAGCCTTAGAATTGAAAGTTTTTAATGTTTTTCAGTATCTTTATTTGTTGATTGTAATTGTTGGCCTTCACTTGTCAACAGACACATGGTTCTTTCGGTTTTTCAAAAACAGGTTTAACTCTTTCAGTCCCAGGAACCCAACACGCGCTAATCAGTTACTACCCAGCCGCCCAATCAGTGCATGTCGCGTACTTGTTTTTAATTTTCCACTGGCCAGTATAACAACTAAAACTGGCAGTTTTGAATGGTATTTCTTGTTCTTTGTGTTTGATGACGCACGTGGTGACCATAAGCCTTGTACAAAAACGTGGTAAAGCATAAATTGTTTCATATTTGTGAGTTTTACCTGGTTACTAAGTGTCTGTGTGACAAAAATATGGATTCCAGGCAGACTTCTTCATGCATGCCAACAAGATTTATGAATTTAGAAGTTTGATATTTAAATATAGCATGTATTTGTCAGTTTTATCAGAAGCTATACCCAATGAAGTAGACTTGTTTCAGTCATTGATAAAGTCACACATTGATGAGGGATAAGTGATAAATACCTCACGCAAAGTGTACAACAATAACAAAGTCAGCTGATACATAGAGAATAAATATTAGGGCTGTACCAAATATTTGCTTCGTATTCGCTTCGGGGCCGAATAGTGGACCTAATAATTATTCGGTATTCGGCCAGATAGTTGCGGTCGGGCCGAATACAAATAGTGGTTACCTTACACCCTTTTCTGGACTGGTAGAAAATAAACATATCAAGATTTCCCACCTTGGTTCATACTGTCAAGCGTTATCTTTGTGCACCACCTACGAGCGTTCCAGGTGAACGTCTGTTTAGTACAGTTGGAAATACCTTTAGTGAGACAAGAAGCTGCCTTTATTTTTTTTAAATTTTCTTGGAAGCTAATGCCGCTTTCACGCATTAACTAAGCTGTCAGTGACAATTTACAAGTTTATTTACTTGTTATAAAACTAAGAATACTTTCATTCCTATGTACTAGGTACCACATACTGACTGACTGAAGGATGCAAAAGATGAAATGTTTTTAAATGTTTACTATTCTGTACTAAATTTGGTGAAGTAAAATTTCATTTTGACATTATGGATGTTTTCTTTTTAGATCGTGGAAGAATGGGCCTTAGTTTGAATAGTGGGAAGACAGAAGTAATAGTGGTATCAAATAAAATAATTATTCCTAAATGTGTAATAAAAGTCTACATACATCCAGTTTTAACATATGGCTGTAAGTCCTTGACAATCGGTAGGCAGGCTAAACAATTTCTTGAGGCCTCAGAGATGTGGTTTTACAGAACAATGTTTAAAATACCTTGGACAGCAAAAAAAAAGCAACCAAAAGGTTTTGATAGAAGCGGGAGCTCGAAGACAACTACTCACAGACATCAGAAGGAGACAGTCACCATTTTTTGGCCATGTTATAAGATGAGCAAAAATGAAACACGTCGTGACCATGGAAAGATATGTGTAAGAAGGGATAGAGGAAGACAACAAGAGAAAATTCTTGAAAGTCTTGTTGCATGGCATGGTTGTGTATCAGCACACGAACTAATACATGCTGCAGGAGATTGCAGATTGTGGCAAGGCATAATCGCCCATGCCAGTTGGCAAAGCACCTGATGATGATGATTCACTATTCGTATTCGGCCGAATAGTTGGTCCAGCTATTCATATTCGGCCGAAAAGTGAAAATCCCAATTCGGTACAGCCGTAATAAATATTAGTGCAAAAGTAATATTTTTCATGTTAGTTAGGTCCAGTGCAATTCCCTTCTTTTTTGGGAACATAGACTATAAAATTACAGGGTTAAAAAGTTTTTTTTTTTTTTTTAAATACTGTTTTTAAAAGTCGTTTTTCCTTTACAACAAAAAAAAATGGTGTTTTTTTTATGATGTTCTAAAAGTTTCTCTGGAACGAGATCTAATGGACAGATTGTGTTTATATTTTAGTTATACATTACTAAGTGGTTTATGGTCATTTTGGATTTATTTTATTAAGTTTTCCTTGATTGCCATGGTGGTAACTTGAAAAATTATTTCATTTTACTTATTTCTCTGAACATACCATTTATTTATTCACTAATAATTAACAGCTAACACAATTTATTTTTGTAGCAGTATTCTAACATTATTCCTCAACAATCTTTGTTTACTTTGATGTAAAATGTATGTGTGTATGTTGCGTGGTATCTGAATTAATATGGTCTGTTTTAATGTGTTACACTTGTGACATTTCAAAATTGCATCACCACCCCTTCAACCTCTGATGCTAAATCCCCTAAGACTCAAAAAGTTAAATTAACAAATAATAAAACTGTAAACTGTCACTACTGTCTGTGTGTACCACTTTTTAGGGCAATGTAGACAGGGGTAGCTGTGAGCTGGAGGAATAATAATAATGATTCTAAATGATAACAAATGCAATTTGGCATCTGTTTAAAGGAATTTCTTCCCCCACCCCATTATCCTCTCCCTTTCTCTCTCTCTCTCTGTCTTTCATATACACCCCACACCCCATTATCTCTGTTACTCTGTCTCTCTTGCCTGTGCATGTGCACATACACACATATAAAAAAAGAATCAGCGACATTAGTAGTTATCTCTGAATCATGCTGTTATTTTCCAGTTAGTCATCCTCATTATTGGTGCTAAAGTTGCCAGATTGTTGTACCCTGCCCTGTTTTCAGCATTTCTCTTCTGCTCATCATTAGAACAATCTAGCTCATGATGTTATCACATGTTTGTACGTTGTTACATTTTTTTTTTATGTCTTTGGAATGTTCCCTTCATTTTCAGCCCTAGGTCTCCATGTTTTACACTTTAGTCCTAAACAACAAATGACATGTGAATAACTCTATCCACTAAATCTCCTTCTTAGTTTAATGTGCTCTCTTACTTTTTACATTTGATCTGAAAATTTCTTAAGAAAACTGGCTTCTCCGTGATCCTTATCATTGTTATATTAGCACTTTGAAAATATTGTATTCAGCATTTGAAACATGGATTTTTCTTTACTTTGGCATCTCCTCTGAAGCCATTTAGTACAGAAAGGATTAATATAGATCTGTCCATGTCTTTTCCACCATCTTGTTCCACAAAGGTGTCTGAATTATTGTTGTTCTGTCTATATTGCTTCTAAAGTTCTGAAACAGTAAGTGCTAATGATTTCCTCTCTCATCTGCTCTGAAAATCATTAATACATTTGTATTGTCCTATAATATTCATTTTGTCTGTGTAGACATTACGTGGCAATGATCACTTCCTGCAAGCTTTTCCTACTGTAAGGTAATTGCAGTGGATATAGGAGCCAAATGTGTAAATCAGTCAGTAACACCTGGTCTAGATGCTAGTTTGGTTGGGTGGCAGTTGTTTGGCAGAGATGTGGGTCGTGTTGAACAGTGTTTGGTTCCAGATAAAAGTCTAACAGTTATATTTGAGGTTTCCTCATTACTTGATCCTTAGTCAGTTCAGGCTGTTATACATCAATTATATCTTCTGACTTTCTGGTAGAAATTATCATTTGCTTTCCTTGTACAGGGTTCCGGGGCCCATCGAGGGTGGGGGAGGGGCGAAGGGAGGGGGGGTTAGGGGGTAGACCCACTGGTGCCCTAACAAGCTTGTCTTACAAAGTGAATAATTAAGAGATTTTACTTTAAAGTCGGACTGCACCTGCCTAAGGGGTGAGGAAACAGTCTGCAAGTAAGTGAGATCTGTAGACAGATATGCATGCAAAACTCAAGTTCTGAAACAAGGCTGAAGTCCAGAAACTGACGAACATTCAGAACTTTATGTCGGAATTTACAGCCAACAGTGCTAAGAAGAAGTATATGTGCAAGTGTGTTATACGTACTCTTTCATATAGTTTACTTCAGGGCCTAGTCATTTTATTGTTGAGATTCGTCAGTGAGCAGCTGCACTTTGAGAAACAAAATCTATCTGTGTCTTTTGGGTCCTAACATGAACTTCACAGAAACCTTATCACTGTTTATGTTAAAGTAGTCTTCTGTAGCATGAGGTTATTAGAGTCAAAGAAAATTTTCTGTATAATTATATGCCTGTTTTTTGTGTCCAAATGTAGCATGGTATATATATTTTTGCTTGTATATTACTTCTACTTTAAAAAATAAACTTTATTTCTTGAAAACACAGATTAGCGTTCGGGCAGACAAGGAAGCCATGAAAAATCATCTGGACGTGAATCAGAGTTCATCTTGTGAACATTTGTTTGACCAGTTTGTCACAGCTGCAACCTTCAAGACTATCCTGGCATGCTTTCACCAACTGCTAGACTCATGCAGGCTGCCTGATGGCAGTCACACTTATTTATACCAAGGGTTGAAGGTGAAATTAAAGGGATCATGGAGAGCAGAGAGTTTATTTTCAAAATTAGATAAAAGGGCAGCACATAAAGATTACAAAAAAGGCAGTGTTTGTTCCAATAAAAAGGTGAGTCAGGTCAGAGGTTATGTGGATTCCAGCATTTAACTAGTTTTAAGGTTTTGTTTGGAAAAAGTAAAAAGTATAGTAAAGGACCCTTTTCCACACCTTTAAGCGTATAGGGCATATAGGGCTAGACCTATATTTGTATAGACCAACGGCACAAGATGGGTGATGTGGTCAGCATCACGCCGGCCGCCTCTACTTCCCGGGGCTGCACCCGGTACCCACTCAAGGCTGGGTCGACCTGGGAGCCAAGGTCACTTTTGAAGAAAAGTCCGGCTCCGCCAGGGAGCGAACCCACGACCTTCCGATCCGTGGCGCGCATCTAGCCGCTCTGCCACGGCGACTCCTGTTTTGTTTGGAAGCTGACCCTAATTGTAGAATTATGATCATTGTCTTGTTGTGCCATTATCTATCACATAGGCCTTGCAATCTATTCCTTCATTCCATTCTACCCTGTGCAGTCAATATCATTGATGGTATACAGTCCAGCAGCTTTGGCCTCTCTTGTCAGTGTTTGTTTTCAACCAAGATTTCTTTTGGACTTCTTTGCTACCTTGGCCCATTTATTTCCCAATCTAGTGCCTGTTTGGTGATTCTGTGCTTGTTTTTTCTCAGTATGTGTAAATTGTAGCTTCATATTCTCTGTCTTATAACTTATACATGGTTGCCCAGATATTCCTCTTCATTTGTTAACTGGAATGATGTCTTTTCCTGCAAGTTTCTGTAGCAAATAACATTTTTTATATTACAGGGCAGGGAAGCTGACCCCATGCCCAACCCTGCTTCTTTCCTGTCCAGGCTTGTGACTGGCAGTGGTGAAGATTAATTGTAGAATATCAGTACAGATATGCTGCTACAGTAGTAACATCTGGAAGGCTCTTTGGTCTTTTATCTTTACCTTATTGTATGGTAAAATGAGAGTTCACATTGTAAAGCAGTGAATGGCAGCAGATTCATTCCTGAAATTTGTGTTCAAACTTCTTCACTTCCTCTTTTACTGCTTCAAGTGTCGAGGGAGATTTAAAGTTATGCTTCTTGCTCTTCTGGTTGCCTCCACCATAGATACATTGTGCTGTCGTAAAGTTTCTCTTATGTTACCTTTTCTTCTTGTTCTTGATCTGCTCTTCGTCCATATCCTCTTTTGGCATATGCCTTGTATGGTTTGGTGTCACAAGGCATTTTTTCCAAGTGATCAGCTGATTTGATTTATTGTCTTTATGTGTAATTTAGAATTGGTTCTGTGCCAGCTTTTCCTCTTATGACCTAATTCCTTATTTTATCAGCTCTGGTCACTCCTGCAGCCCTTCTCAGACATTGCATTTCCATGGTGTGTGTGTGTGTGCATGCATGCCTTTTTGTGAGTGTGCATAAACATATAATGTGTTCTGTTGGTCACTAAAATTGTAACTTTAGCTCCCAGTGTGAGTTCCGGACCACATTTATTGGGGGGGGGGGGGGGGGGGGAGATTGAATAGACTCACTGCTCCCTTAACAAGGATGTCAAAGGCAGCGACAAGCTGTTTCCTTCCTGATCTGAAGGTTGTGGATTCATTTCTACAATATTGCAGTGACTTCCTTGGCTCTTATCATGCAGCCTTCTCAGGCACATTGACAGATCATTCAGCAAAGAATACCTGATCACAAACAAAATGTCACGAATACTAAAGTGCTGATACGGAACTGTTGATTTACTCCAACATTGTTCTCCTCTGTCAATAAGCCAGAGGTAATCTGTCTATGTCATAGGCTACACAAGTGTAATTACTGTCACTACCTGGACAGAGTTCTCACTTCAGTACACTTACTTTAATTACACTTTACTAGATTGGCGAAAGCTGCATTCAGCTAAAACACACAAGAGACGACTTTCCTCCATCTCTAATTGTTATGTAGTCATAGCCAGGTTTTTCTCAGGAACATGTCGGCATCTTGTGACATTCACTCAACCTATGAATTCATTCGACTCAGGCATTCCAAGGGCCACGGGACCAGTCTCTTACAGGATTAAAAACAAGACTGAGCTTTCTTAATTACTCCAAGTTTAAATATTCTGTTTTACTTTTTATGCACTCAAAAGTTCTACTCGTGATTTCACACTTTTTTTATATTTGACACACTTCAGCCAAACTGCACATTTGCCTTAAGTTGGTATCACTTACTCAGTTTGTTAACGCATACATTATAATAGGTAAACAATGCCATCCATCTTGATTCTCGTACATAATTTGCATTTAGTAGTTGTCCTTATTTCATATTATGAGAAAAGTTACCAACAATGAGAAATTATCTATTACAGCCGTTCAGTTAACGAGTGTAGGCTTTATAACGAGTGTAGGCTTTATGGAGATATGGGATTGTCGTCACAGCTACCGAGTTCATGCTTTGTGTAACCTCATGGCAGACGGCTAGCTGTTCTGCATAGAACAAACGAACAAAATTCATTTTCAAAGGAATACAAATTTGGCGCACAGGTCCGTCTGACATAGAGAGAGACTGAGCCATATGGGATAAGACCTGGTGCAGTGAAGTCAATCATCTTGACTTTAACTTTGTGGTTGGCTACATTTGTAACTTTATGTATTTGTATATATATATATATATATATATATATATATATATATATATATATATATATATATATATATATATATATATATATATATATATATATAGGTTAGTTGCCTATCCTTTACAGGACGTTGCAGAACCAACTACAGCAGCCCCTGGCTGTTGTGTGGTTTCTCTAGGCAAATTTACGTCCAGTAGTTTGATATATATATATATATATAATTTTAAAAAAAATATGGTTCACCACACTTTGTTGAAAATATATAGCCATTGTTGTTTATTTCTTACATTTGGCAGTTTGTTTCCATTTAAGGTTCTGATCATAGGAGCAGGTCCTTGTGGGCTGCGAACAGCCATCGAATGTGCATTTTTGGGAGCCAAGACTGTCATTGTTGAAAAGAGGGACAGATTCTCACGAAATAATGTACTTCACTTGTGGCCATATCTTATCAGTGACCTCAGAAACCTGGGTGCAAAGAAGTTCTTTGGCAAGTTCTGTGCTGGTGCTATAGATCATATCAGTAAGTAACCATCCACTGATTGATATAATGTTGGTAATAATTGTTAATTTATGTGAATGTGATGCTGAAATAAAAAAAACTGTCTTTGTAAACTAGATTCCCTAACCAGGACAGATCATTAGAAAAAGACCTGGTAAAGGTAAAGTCAGTTCTGAGATTGCAGTAAAAAATCCTTATAGGAAAGGGAGAGACACATGCATGCACGAACACACACACTCACATACATATACACATATCTCATCTCATCTTGATCTTCTGGTACCTTGCGGTGTTGAGATGGAGTATAATTTACAGGAAAGAGCCCATTTGTGTGCTTCATGGTTTGTACATCATTGCTTGCAGTGGTGTACTGTCTGTTGATAGCCATGTTATATGACTAAACCACTGTGGTCTTCGAGCACACCTACTGTACAGGATAGGCATAAAAGAATCTGCTGCCTGTGACTGTGGAGCAGAAAGAAAGACCCCTGGGCACATACTGCAGTACTGCCCTTACATCTCCCAGCAAAGACTGTGGATCTGGCCCAGGGGATCCACATTGTGAGAGAAGCTATGGGGGACCGTTGGCGACCTTTAACGCACAATGCTATTTGTGACCCAGACGGGACTCAATGTTTAACATGACTGATGTCGAACGCAGAAGAAGAAGAAGGCTAAACCAGTTCATCTGTTGTCTTCTAAAGAAATCCAGATCTGCTGCTACCCCCATTTTACATCAGATTTTGTTGTTTCTGAGATATATATATATATAAAATGGCATCCGTCAGTCCCGGGGGTCTATGGAGATGTGCCGCTGGCTTTGGGAACAGCATCTGCTGTGACTGTAAAGTCCGATGCAGGAATGGCAGCCTTTGCCACACAGGATACACACAAAAGCAGATACTCCCTCGTTGACATAGGCACAGAGAAATGGGAAAAATCAGCTGCAGATCGACTACTATGGAGACAGAAAGTGAAAGACGGACTGTCACGTTTTGAAAGAAACCGAACACAACGAGCTGTGGAGAGGAGACACTGGAGAGTAAAACTGCCTCACAACGAGGGAGTATCTGCTTTACTCCCTCGTTGTGAGGCAGTTTTACTCTCCGGTGTCTCCTCTCCACAGCTCGTTGTGTTCGGTTTCTTTCAAAACGTGACAGTCCGTCTTTCACTTTCTGTCTCCATAGTAGTCGATCTGCAGCTGATTTTTCCCATGTCTCTGTGCCTATGTTGGTACCTATTAGGTCACGTTTGCATACATCTTTATAGCTCAGCTTTGGCCTTCCTGTAGGTCTATTCCCAGTTACCAATTCACCATATAGGAGATCTTTTGGAATACGACCATCCTCCATGCGGGAGACATGTCCCAGCCAGCGCAGACGTCTTTGCTTCAGTAAACAATACATTGATGGTATTTTTGCTTTTGTGAGCACACATTCGTTGGAGACAAGGTCTCGCCATAATATACCAAGGATGCGTCTCAGACAGCGCATATGGAAGGTATTCAGTCTTTTTTCCTGTAGAGCATAGAGAGTCCAGGATTCGCAGCCGTACAGTAATGCACGCGCGCGCGTGCATGCACACAGAGAGAGATAGAGAGAGCTGCATGCTTTGATGTCGTGTGTCCATCATCAAGTGCCTTGCTGACTGGTGTGAGTGGTCATGCCTTTCCACAATCTGTATTCTTCAGCGGCATGTATCAGTTTATGTGCTGACATCCCTACATGCAATAACAAAAGGCTGTCAAGAATCTTCTTGCATTATCTTCCTCTATCTCTTTTCCAGAGAGCTTTCCAGCAAAAACTATGCCTTCTACCATTGTTCTTTCTAAACCAGTTTGTTTGACAAGGCCACAGAATTTAAGTTTTTGATTATTCAAGTTTTTGTAAAAATATTAACATCTTGTAGAATGTCAGTATTTATTATCTTGATCTGCAGCATTCATGTAATTTGTGTGTGATGTTTATGCTTTAATGTTTGTAAAGCTGTCCATAACTCATATTCTTATGTTTTCTATAGGAATGTTGCATTTTCCTAGGATATTTACTTTTATTTCTTTGCTGATGTTGAGAATAGGATAAGATCTTTATGCTGTCTAACTTCAGCATCCATCTTACTTCTTTTGTAAAACCTCTATTTTTGTTTATTATGAGACCAGTATATTTAATGTAAATTTTGTTTCAGTTTCTTTATTATTAATTGTAATTTCTTTTAACTTTTTCTTTGTGGCCATCTTTGCATATTCCAGAAAATATGTTTTTTTTTTAGAGCACTTAATTCTCTGTACTGACAAACAATTTTACTTGATACTTTCAAAATAAAAAAAAAATAAACCAAAACAAGAAGTAGAATATTAGTTAGCTTCCTAGTGAACACATTCAAGAATGCCACTTTCAATGGAGTTCTGTGCATCTGAGTTCTCACTTTTACATTTCCAGCAAATATGAATGGATTTTAGCCCCACATGTGAGTTCTGTATCTGAGTTTGGGGGAAAAAGGAAACATACACTGACTACTCTTTTAACAAGCATGTCATAGGAAGCAAGAAGCTGTTATCTTCTTGCTCTGAAGGTCATGGATTCATTTCATGGCTGTGCCATTGCATGACTCTCTTGGTCATAATCATGCAGCATTCTCAGGTACATTGACAGGTCATTCAACAAAGCAAGCCTGAACACAAACAAAATGTCAAAAACACTAAACTGCGCATTGTCACAGATTTATTGGCACTTCACATTGCAATTTTGTTTGCATATTTTAAATAGATTTATAATAGAATGCAGCATTGTCTTACTATTCTTTCACCTAAACTAGTTTAATATTTCACCAGCTACTCTGACTGCAAAATACTGTTTCAGTTAACATTATCAAATCAACTCGAAACTTCATGTCCCTTACGATGCTTCACATTTGTAATATTCACAGCCAAAAACCTTATTGTATGCTGTAAAACACCACCTGCTTATGGGTCTCCTTAGAGACAGCCTGTTAGAGGTTCTATAGTGAGTCATATAAACTGTCTTGTTGGAGATAGTCTATAAGAGGTTCCACAGTCGGTCTCATAAATTCAGTCTTGTTGAAGATAGTTTCACATTTTTCATATTCACAGCCTTATTATATGCTTTAAAATGATTATGAAGATCTACACTGATATTTTACTGTTTTTTAAAATCCTTTTAGGCATCCGACAATTGCAGTGCATACTCTTGAAAGTAGCTTTGTTGGTTGGAGTGGAAGTTCATGTTAATGTTGCTTTTGATGGGCTGGTTGAACCTTCAGAGCATGCAGATTCAGGTGAGATCATCAAAAATCCATTACTGTGAAAGCCGTTATAATAGGTGCACTGTTTAAAAGTAAGAAACGGTTCCAGTTAATCACTTATATTTAATTTATTATTAACCTGTAAGTTTAGTAGCTTAAGCTTTTACCTCCCAGCTCAGTCATCCTGGATTAATATCCCACTTGAGATAGAGTACCTGTGAGCTAAGAACTAACATTGTAGCACTCAGGACATTCCCATAAGACTCTGTCCTCACCTTTAGAAGCCTGTAAAGAGTTCCATTTCTGATGGTGCCAGCAGCAGTTTGATTATTTGTCTGTCTTTCTTGTCTTCCCTCTGACTGTAGAGTGTGGACTAGATCTCGTGGTCACTCCTAGCTGTACCATTCTTTCCAATCCATGATGATCTGTTAGGGCCTCTCCATTATTCACTTGCTCCTAAAGGGCCTTGACCACATCTTGCTTGTCATGCATAAATTCACCACTCGTAGGTGCAGAACCAGCCACTCTGACTGCCTATTCATTTCCCAGCACTCCTACATTCCCGAAGAGAATATTCAAATAACATTTATGGCATTGCTGTAGAGTTGGTCAAGCCTCATTCTTCTTCTTCTCTTCCACCTTGTACCTAAGCAAAGTGTCAAGGGAAGATGTAACATTTGTTGATAAGCTCTGTCAAGAGCACTAATAAGACTCATGTTTATTTTCTGTAAGGCTGTTCTTAATGCTATAATTCCATCTTTTCCGAGGTCTTCCACTCGCTCTATACCCATTGTGATGCTTTAGTGTGGCTCCCTGTGGCAGATAGTACCAGGGCATTCTTGTTAGGTGTCCAAACCACTTCATTTATGGTTCTTTGATAACTTTTAAGACTAGCTTTATTCCTAGCATTCGTCTGATTTCATGATTTCGTAGTCTGGTCTTTCCTTGAAACTTCTGCAGCTCTTCTAAGGCATTTCATCTCTTTTGTCACAATTTTATGTTCATTGGAGGATGTGAGTTTCGACATTTGGCACTGATAGCATAGTTTTGGCCAAAAAATAGATTGATAAGATGAAATGATTAGATTCACTTTAGTATTCTGGGGTATCTGCTTGTGTGTCAACAGAGAAGATAGTTGTCCCATTACTTGATTGGCTTTGGCACATCTCGAGCTAATTTCTCTGTCCAGTTTTCCTTCTGATGTAATCAAGCCTCATTGACTGCTAGAAAATGTCTGGCAGGAAAGATAGCTAATGTGTTACTAACCACGTTAATCTTTGTCTGTCATTTGCCCTGTAACATAAACTTTGAAATAGTCTTTTACTTTCTATTAATAAATAAGTGTATTATGAGTTGGGTTACATTGTGGCACTCTGGACACGCTCGTATGCTCAGTCCCCCCCACCCCCCCCCCCCTTTTCCACCAAATACCCCAGCATTGTGTGAATGATAAATTTGTTTGTGTGTCATCAGTAATATTGTAATGGATGAAGGAAAAGTGAGAGATTGGACAAGTCAGACACTACTATATTGTTAAATGTTTTATGAGATGTCTGCATTTGCTGATCTCAATCCCTAAAAGCTTTGTCATGAAAATTGTTAGTTATTTTTGTGTGTTTTGAGGTATAATTTTTGAATTGTTGTTAATTCTGTACATGTATGTAGGCTGGAAATGCAAGGTGATACCGAAGAGCCATATAGTGTCTGACTATAAATTTGATGTTCTCATTGGTGCAGATGGCAAGAGGAACACACTTTCAGGTATTTGCCTCTTAGATTGCAGTTAACATGTGTTTTTGGTTTCCAAGTTATAAACCGTTAATTGCTCAAAAGCTATTGTGGGTAATGACATTCAGTTCTTTGTGAGAAAAAAAAAGTAAAGGTCCAGTTTCCACACATAGAGGCATCATTACCCTATTGTGCCATTATTTGTCACATAGGGCTCGCATTCTTTCTCTCAATTCCAGCGTTGGCGAAATCAGGAAAGAAGTTGGGAGAGGACCAGTACTAAACTACATCAAGAGACAACAGATCAAATTGTTTGGACGTGTGACAAGACTACCACAAGATAGTGCACCACGGAGAGCTCTATCACTTAGATACAATGAAAGCAAATGTAGAGATCAAACATGCAAGTGATGGATAGATGATGCCATCATCTATCTAGGCCATCCCAAGGCTAGCACCCAATAAATTTTCAAAACCTGGCGCTAAAAGGCTGAACAGGACTAGAGAAGAAGTCCTAGTATCTATGGTAAATGGGATTCAAAATTTTCTTCTTCTTTTTCACCTTCACCGGCTGTAAACTCTCGTGGAATGTTCTGGGTGTTCACCCACCTCCAGACTCTGGTCTTGCTCTAGAACCTGAGTGTTGCGTGCACATCCATTTCACAGATCTAGATTATTTGTAGGCAGACTTGTGGTTCCTTGCCTCTCAGGTGGTTGTACTCCGGCTTCGAAGGAGGTCTCCAGTTAGTTGACTCCTATGACATGCTTATTCTGGAGGCAGTGGGTCTTGTCTTGTTTCCCCCAACTGTAAGGGCTCCAGAACCCACACATAGAGGATTCAAAATGTTTAATGCCTCCAGATCCAGCTCTAGAATCTTCTAAGATACCTTAAGTATCTAGGGAAGTGACATTCAGATGGTTGAGAGACAGGGAGCATCAGTTGAGTGCTAGAACTGGAGATCCCCAAATGTTGTTGAGATTGGAGAATGTCAGATATCACTAAAGTAAGGGGGCTCCCTTAATTTGCTAGGGTTGGAAAAACCTGAGAGAGATAACAGGGTCAGAAGACCCAAGTTGGCACCTTGTAAATAGGCCACTTGCTAACAAAGTGAGGGAAAAAAGCATTTACAGGGGAATCTCAGGATATGAGGTCAGACTCGCCAGTTTTTTAACCCCAGAATACATGGAAAAATTCATGATGCGAGCTAATTCACTTTAAAAAAAAATAATAGTTATCCTACCCTACGATCTTTTTTAATAAATAAAAAAAAACACTCATGCAGAGGCCAGAGTCTGTTAGTCATTATATTCATTTGAATTATCTAGAGGTATCCATCATTATAATATATAATAATTCCGACTTACAATAAACACACCAAACATAATCGGCAATCCCCGAAATGATATTCTGCAATGATGAATTTGAAATAGAGCAAATTAAAAAAATAATAATAATAATAATATAAAATAATAATAATTAAAATATATATCTAAAATACATATATAAAAATGGATACCAACGAATTGCAGAAACCCTGTTCAATGTGTTATGAAATTAAACCTTTCAGTTGTTTTGCAAAAGATAAAACAGGAAAGTATGGATTGAGATCAAGTTGTAAGGAATGTAATAAACCATATAAACTACAACATTATCAAGAAAATAAAGACAAATATAAACAAGCATACCAAGATTTTATGATTGAAAATCCTGATTATTTCAAAAATTATAAAAGAATGAAAAAAGTATATTAAAAATGTTTCCTAACAAAATGAGCAGAAAAAAAACCTTTCAAAATATTATCAATGAATATACAATTGATGATATTCAAGAAAATAATATAGACATATATTTTAATCTAATTAGAGATAGAGTAAGAGAAATAATAAATGAAACTGAAAAACCTATTAAATTTAAACAAGTTATAACTTGTGAGTTTTTAACTGCATTAGCTTTTCAAGTTATTGATGTATATTATCAAGGAGAGAATAAAATTATAAGAACTATGAATGATTTTGATACAAAATTTAATTCAATTAAAGATCATTTTGAAACATGGGTAGATGAATATCAAGAACTTGGTAGTGGACATGTATTCAATCAAATAACAAAAACAGTAGTAAAAACATATAAAACTCAATTTTTCAGAGCATCATCTTATATTCCAACTCCTTTAAAAAGTTCAAATATTATTAATGTTAAAAACACTAAAGATAATAAATGTTTCTTATGGTCAATTCTGGCTAAACTTCATCCAGCAGATGATAACAAAGAAAGAGTATCAAAATATCGAGAATTTGAAAATACTTTAAATATGAGTCAAATCGACTATCCTGTAAATATAAAAGATATTCCAAAGTTTGAAAAACAGAATCCAAATCTTAGTATTAATGTTGTTGCTTTAAGTAATCCATCTGATAAATTTTCTCTTTATCCAATATATACTTCAATAGAAAAAAACAGAGAAACAACTATTTATTTATTATATTTAGAAGAAGATGAGAATGCTCATTATTGTTTAATTAAAGATCTTAATTCTTTTCTATGTGATAAATCTAGACATAAAAGTTATGTTTGTATAAATTGTATGAATTCATTTAAAACAGAAGATGCATTAAAGAATCACCGAGAAAAATGTGTTAATCATAAATTTTGTAAAACTATATTACCAACAGAAAAAAATAATATTTTAAAATTTAAAAATCATCATTTTAAATCTAAATTACCTATAGTAATGTATTGTGATTTTGAAGCTAAAAATATACCAATATCTTCTTGTCAACCAGATTCTAACAAACCATATACAAAACCATTATCTAAACAAGAAATTATTTCCTACGGTTTATATATAAAATCAGATTATTCTAATTTAGCTGAATCGGAATATATTTCACATACTGGTGAAAATGCAATAGAACATTTTTTTGAAACTATTATAGAACGTTTTAATACTATCTATGATGAAATAAAAAAATATGAAAAAAATAAATGTAAACTAACTAAAAAACAAGAACAAGAATTTAATGATGAAACAAATTGTTACATGTGTAAAAAAAAGTTTACTGAGAAAAATTTTAAAATAAAAGAACATAATCATTATAATGGAAAATATAGAGGAGCTGCTTGCCAATCATGTAATTCAAAAGAAGGAAAACGTTCTAAAATTATTCCAGTATTTTTTCACAACGGAAGCAGATATGATTTTCATTTTATGGTTGAAGAGATAATGAGATATGAAAATAAATATAATAAACTTACCGTGTTAGCTAAAACAACTGAAGAGTATATTTCTATTGAATATGGTGGT